ACATTTTCATCTTTTTATATTTATTTTATTTTACATTAATTTTTCTGTGGATAGGAGAAAAACACTTTCTCTGATATTCCATGCGTGCGACGACTTTGAGGATTTTGTTTTAGTCTTATATTTTGAGGTCTTTTAAATAATAATATGGGATTTAAATTTGGTTTTGATTCCTGCCTATGAAGAAGGGATGTTTCATTTTTCAGCGCATTCAAATAGGATGTTTAAGTGCATTCATGTGAGTTAAAATTGTAAGGATCTGAGTAAAAACTAGGGTCCGCCAGGGTTACTGAAATATACACCATTTTGTTTTGTCTTAACAAGAAGAAAGTATTTTTGTACTTCATGTATATTACTGGGTCAACTCAAAATATTTCTGGGATGTAATGAAAGGAGAAAACATATTGTACTAAATTCACCTAAGCTGAAGGAATATATTTCATATATCATTTTGATACCTTTAAAATGCAATTGTATAGGAATTGCTTCCCTTTGTTCATATTTCATTCCAATACTGATGTAGAAACCTCCAGTCAATCACAACAGTACATTGTATGCTTATCACTTATGCGTAGGTTTTACTCAACTTGGAACAAAGCCCATGTCTTTCTATCAAGTAAATGTTGAACAAGACTTATAAAAATCCCGATGTTAAACAAATTTATTGAGTGGAAGCTGGCGACCAATGAGAGCACAGTATGCTTATTAATTGTATATGGATTTTCTTTGTATGTTTTAAACAAGTTTTATTAAAATTGAATAAAATTTAGGCAAGTTATCTTGCAGAAACCTAAAGCGTGGAAAGGACAGAAGCTCCCCATAATTAGTCTCTTCAAAATTTCTGATGGGAATAAAACTGTATTTTCCTGTTTGGGGTAATACAAGATTATTACAAATTTTTATCAAAGTCTGCAGTGTAAATACCTATTTATTATGGCTAGTGATGTTATCATTGGTGGGATTCCAAATATTTAGCTTGCCAGAAAATTGTCATTTTTGTCAAATCCCAAACATAGGTAGATACTTTGATCCACATGCCACTCACCGAAAGCCTAATATTGTGTAATACAATATAACAGGGTAAAAAAAACAACAAAAATTATGAGATAAAGTATTTCATAAGAAATGTTAAAGGGACATAATCATGTTGTCTTCCTTTACTACATCATTGCCTATCAACTTTCCTAGCCGTTTCATAAGTAAACATTGATACTAATGTGCTAAAAAATTGTAAACTTTCCATGAGCCATTACTGTAATGTCTAAATTTATCATCAATTTTCATTTTCATATATATATCAATTCAATATTCTATTTTCTTGCATATTTAATTGTCTACTGTTGAGATCAGGTGCGTATGTATTCATGAAACTCGGTTCTCCTGGTAAAATTAAATTCTGTGCTCAACCCCAATTCCTTGTTCCTGTTAAAGAAAAACAAAAACTTCAAATATTGTTGACGATTTTGGAAGAACTCTGGAGAGTTTTGAAGCCGAACACTATTTTCAATGTGTAGACTCAAATTTTTGACTGCGTCACATGATTTTAAGAAATAACAAGAAAATTGGTTTAAGCACAAAATCTACGCTTGAGCATGAGAACGGTTTCATGAATGTGGAGCCTGGTCACTTCACTGATATGTTGCAAGGGTATTGGTACAGAAAGTTATATGAAAATAAAAACACAAACACACGATTTAACCTCATTAATAATTTATTGTCAGTCTCTGCTACAGTATGACAATAATTTAATTGAGATTCTAAGAATTTGCTGCAATGCAAATCTACACAACACACAGACAGTAGTGGTCAGACAGTGAAACGCTGCGGCGGCGGGCAGACATGGTTTACTTTTATAGAGAAAAATAAACGTTTTAAACAACAAAGCTTTTTTTTTTATCATAACATTGACAATCATGTATACATGTTTCATGTATATAAACTACTGACATTTATAACAAAAACAAACAAAAAATTATATCACTACATTACTAGATGTATGAAATGCACATAACACAGAGGGTGAAAGAGATCTGGAATGTGTCTATCTAAAAACATGCAAATACATTCACCTAACACTCTAGCACAAATTGCAACATGGTCTCCGTCGGAGCGTGTGTGCTCACCCTCGATCAGATATCACTCTACAAAGAACATCGTGAACCGCCAACATTCGGCTGCACTGGTACAGTTAGGGAAAGTTGTCGCTTTTGATCGCAATGCATAGATAAAGGGATCACAGAAATTCTAAAAATCATTTCAGAAAGTGATGTATGGAGGGGTAATATATATATATATTGGGGGTAATTTTAACTTAACCCAGTCACCCCTGAAGTCACATTTGAACCTTACCAAATCAAAGACTGGTCAAGTCCAGTTTATGTAGGGGTGAGTGAGTTAACTCATCCACCCCCTGAAGACACATTTGAACTCTTCCAATTCAAAGGTTGGAATAGTTCATTATGAAATTTCAGGGGTGAATGAGTTAACATTGACTGTTTAGCACTCTAATATCCACTGTGAATATTCTCCACAGAAAGGTTTAAAGTTTCTATTTCGGTAGCTTAGCGCTGATAACATCCATCTTGTTGGGGTGTTTTTTTTCGGGGGTGGGGGAGGGACATAACGGTTTGATTTATTGAGTTTCCCAATGAGCAAAAATGGATTGAAATTGTTTTGATACACACATTTTAGATCTTTAACGATACAACTGAGTGTTTAATAAAATACATAATTAATCTCAAATACATTTACCGGTAGATCATGATTTAGTTACAATTGTTCTATAAAATAATCAGTACTAATGACATTGTTCACAAAATATTTGTTAATTTAACAGGTTATAAATTACCCTTGTCATCATAAATTTCAAAATTAGACAATAATTTGCATCTGAACATATTAAGTGCATTATTGTTGATAATTTAGTTTTGTTTACCCTACATATTCTAAATATCTTTGTTTTCCCACAAACTGTGCTTTGAAAGAAAAATATTGCTAAGATTTAGAAAAAAAATATCCAAATGCAGTAATCTTAATTCATACAAAGTAATCTTAAAATATTTTTTCTTTATATTTTCTCAATTATAATAGGATTTTTTTCTTTTTTCCTTTATGGTTCAAAATATCTTCTTATTGGTAATTCACATTTCTAAAAGTTTAATGTCTGTGATAACTATACAAAGGTTGGTTTGTTGTATCTAAAACTGACAATTAAAAATTTGGACCAAAAAAAATCATAAAATTTAATTTTCATCAAACTTTTTAGTTACCTAAATATTAAAAGTCAAAATTTTAATTGGAAATTATTGAAATTTCTATTTGTTTAAGCACTTTATTTCATAAAAGCTTGACCTCTAGTAAACTTATAGGGAATTGAATAAATGGTGTGTTCTGAATTTAAATTCCAGTTATCTCCCTTTGCTCAATGTCTTCATTGAAAAAGTCTGTATAGTTTTGGAATTAGACAATCTGATTAAGATCATGTTACATGGCTTCGTTAACTTCGTACTACGCCTGAACCATGTAACAGATGATTTTAATCAGATTGGGAAATAACTTTGCTAACATGAAATGTTCACACTTAAAATTTTATTATAATACCCAATTGTATATTTTACAGAAAACATCCACATACATTTAGAACCGTATTTAATCTTGTTTCTAGCCTATGAACATCTTTTCAAATATCAATCTATCACAGAACAATGCAGGCTGAATTCAAAATAGAAAAAAAGGTTGTGTTGGTGAGTTTTAAACCAGAAGCTATAATATATAGACAACATAAATTACCCTAACAATCTCAACCTTGTATACAGACATTGATAAAACTCTTTGTCACAATACTTGATACATTGTATCTTTCTCTCGCCCCCCTCACAAGACCACAGGCTTATCGCCTCGTAGTGAATAGACAGCACACCCCGACACTGATGCTGAACAAGAAAACCTACATCATACTAGTATAAAAAAGCACCAAGAATCTGGGCAAATAAATTTCGCTTCCAAGATTTTAATTTATATAAATAAAAAAATTATGCTTCGTTAAATCACTCCAATCAGACACCCTATAAAAAACTTCTGTTACAAAAATAACAAATCTGCTATTTTTACACACATCTAATTCTACTTGCAATGATCAACAATAACATGTCAAGATCACCAGACCGTTCTCGTCTCCCAACAAATCTAAATATAAAAGTTTGAAAAATTACACTACTGCTTAAAATATACAATGAACACCAAATATTACTCATCACTAGAATAGTTCATATATTGCATTTCATAGCATTCAATGAGAAATTGAAGAACTTATAAGTGATAATAAAGAAGTGTTTACATATTTTCGGTTGAAATTATTCATTATTTATACAGTGCAAAAAAAAACCCCACCCACATACCTAGACATACGTTATAGAATAACGTGAAAATAGTGGAAGCGTTTTTGATTTCTGCTTTATAGGTACTACTGTGTTCGTGAGCATTTTGGTAGATGCTGATAAAATTTATTTTGTATTGGAAAATTTACAAATCTATACCTTTCGGACTAAAATGTCCACCTCTTTGATAAAGCAGAAAGGACCTATCTTACGATTAAATTATGTTAGAAGGAAATTGGGTATTTAGAGCTACACTAACATCCGATCCACTTGTCCGTTGACCAGTTTTTAGCGATTACCCTGTCAATAATAGACAGAAAACAAGCCTTATTTCACGACGCTTTTGGAGTCATGCCTTGTTTAACCCTTTCACCCCTATGTAACTTTAGTAGACCCTACCATGCATTGATCTAGATGAGTCCTTTATGGTCTACAGTGGTGAAAGGGTTAACAGAAATTAATCTGATAAAAAAATTGCATTTGAAAAATATCCTCCATGACTAGTAAAAAGTATTTGATAACTTTTTAAGTAATTAGTATTGAAATCAAAATCAAAGATCGGCTGACTTTCATTCTAACATAGGACACTATCCCGGAATAAGACCCC